TCCCTTTCTATGAAGATGACACAATTATGACACGATTAACTGTTAGCACAGCAATGTTTTCATTTCTTGATGAATTATTAAATCACTAGTTTCAATTTCAGACCCAATTGCTAAAGAAGAAGTTTATCTAGGAGTTATATCTGTTCTCGAAATCTAGGCTATATTAAAGATGACATACGCTACACCTGCCATCATCTTAAATCACTAGCAAAGTGAATGAATGGGACTATGCTTGATACTATTACAGTTCCAATATTAGCTATGCCACATCTATTTCCCCCCAGCTGTCGCCCCTTTCTACTGTTTACCTCAAGCTCGTTCGCACTTTACAAGTTTCTGGTTATAAAACGTTACTTCATACAATGAAAAACAGAACATAATGTATAGCATAAATCCTCTGGAAAAGGAGGTTCATGGTCCCCCCCTTCTTATATTGTTCATGTTCATTTCTTGTCAAGTAACAGCTCCAAAATATGGCGCATATGTGCTTTTAAATTAAAAAAGGGTTTATATTAATGTGTGAATAAGGCTTAGTCAGAGCATTTAATCACTTGTAAGTTTGTGTAACTCCTCTGATATTTCATCTGATAAATTGATTACTTTTTAGTTGCACAAAACAACTTTACTATAGGCCTAGACTGGTAAACTGTTGTACACCCGTACTTACAATGTTCATGTGCATTATAGCATCCACTTTTCACCAAAATGCTGTTACGATATTACCAGTCTGAACATGCGTATGGGCAGACTTATTTTGGACGCATTGGGACCTCTCTGTCTCATCTCTAGTTTCATTCGTGGCAGCAATTTTCCTTCCTCTGTGGACATCACAGCCTGTCTTGAGATCTACAAGATAATACCAAAATTGAAAATCTCATATATATCGCCAGCCGATTCAGTAAATAAAAAAAGTACAGAGTGCATGTCGAAAGAAGCCTTCACCGAAAAAGCCTGAAGACAATTTAATATGACTGCTGGGAGTTTTATATTAGTAATTGAACTTGGACTGTTCATGTACATGTGATATCTGGTTTTGAAATTTGATTTTAGTTAGTCATATTTTAATTTTAATTTGATCAGCGATATCATATGAGAAATATTCCAAGAATTTGATTACATCAGAGTTCGTCAGAGATATTGATGCACTCTGGAGCCATCGCCATCATGATGATATTTATCAAACAGACTGTAAAAAGCTTGCTGTCATTCTGAAGAGATTTAGATTTTGGATGATGGAATGGCGTGATTTAGCGTAAATTTTGCATAATTGAAGCTTACAAGTGATTTCATAAACATTCAATATTTTGTTATGGTACAACTAAAAGATTTTGTTCAGCTTGAAATTACATCTACTAAAATCGAAATACATGAAAAATTCTTTCCTTGGAATTCCTGGACTATTCCCAATCACTCCAAGTAGCCACTGTATTTCTCATTTTTTTGATATTTTTAGGGATTTTTTTTTTGTTGAAATTTGAAAAGTGATTTCATAGAAAATAAGAAAACAAATCGACAGAAATGAGGGGACAAAGAGATTGAGAAAAATGAAAAGAAGAACAAAGACCAAAACAGAGTTAAAAAGCCCTTTTTGGCTGTCAGACTCGGAGTATGACTTACGAAAGTGTTTGAAGAAAGCCTAGATATGAGTTTAAGAGGAGAATTTAATGGAAAATGATAAATAGCTGTGTGTATACCTGGACGACAGCAAGTACCATTTTGTGAGAGGATTTATGGATTCTAAAAATATCTGCCGACACCGGATGAGTTATTGTTCGATGCTAGTACATCCAATCTGTGGCTGTGACCACAAACTTCATATCTGATAGATTACTCTTAAATTATTAAGAGCCATTTCTTTTGTTTTTATGAATTAATCCCCAGAGTCGACTCAGCCCAGGTGATGATATAGTCATGGTTTAGTGGTTATACGGCTATTACCGTAGAGGTGTAAAGCTGAGATACATAGGTGAATTGTTTAAGAATTGGTCATGGAAAGAAGACTGTTAAGTTGTTATGAAGTTTTAGTCATAGTTTAATGGATTGATATAAGCTGAGGTGTTGAGAGTTTTGATTAGAGTAGGTAAATAGCTGAGGAAATATGTAAACACTATGAATATGACTGACAAAGAAAGCGGACAAAATATACAGTTCCTCAGGTAGACAAAGGAACATCCCTTTACTGCTATTATGTAAACATGTGTAGAACAGGTGTCACATGCATATTCACCTTTTTACATAATAGCAGTGAAGGAATGTTCCTTTGTCTACCTGAGGAACTGTATATTTTGTCCGTTTTCTTTGTCCACCATGTTCATAGTGAAAGTTAATCTGTGAAAATAATATATTTATTATTTACAGTGATGTTGTAGCCAAAGTGTCATGTCAATTTTAAGCAACAATAGGTTAGTTTAGGGTTTAGATGAGTATGTGAATTATATATATTTCTTATTGAATGTTTCGTATTGTACGTTTCGTATTGTACGTTTCTTATTGTACGTTTCGTATTGTACGTTTCTTATTGTACGTTTCTTATTGTACGTTTCGTATTGTACGTTTCTTATTGTACGTTTCTTATTGTACGTTTCGTATTGTACGTGCTATCAATGGGTGTGCATTACCTATTGGAATGTGTGAACATGACAATGACAAACTACTTAATCTGAACATGATTTATAGCCATAGGCAATACAATAGAGTATTGAAATTGATTTCTGGCAAGTTTTTGAGATTGTGCTATGAATGAATATTTTGTCCATTCAACACCAAGTATCAGCAATAATCGAGCGATAATGTGTTTGATTGGATTTCATTATAGACAAATATAGTGACATGTATTTAAAGAAACATCGTTAGTGAAGTTCCATGAGCCTTTTCATTTTCTTCGATCATGTACGCATTTCAACTCCGAGGCCTAGCTGAAGCAAACCTCACTCCAACTCTGCATGGTGCAAATACTGTGCAACAATCAGATGACCGAAAAAAACATGCCGCTAACAAAGTGCGCTGACCCCCTAGATCCCACCTCAGGGAAAAGTGCTTTACACTTTATACAGCCTACCCATCATAAACTCATAGATATTGTCTGTTGAGAGCCAGAAGGTAGTTAAGTCTGTGCTCATGAATTGGAGTTAACACCCTTTTGGCTCCAAACAGATATAGTCTGCTGAGAGCCAGAAGGGAATTAATTCTGTGCTCAAGGATGGGAGTTAACAACCCTCTGGCTCCAAACAGATATAGTCTGCTGAGAGCCAGAAGTGTGTTAAATCTGTGTAGAAGTATTTCAGTTAACGCCTTTTTGGCTAGAACAGATATCGTTTGTTAATTTAGAGCCAGAAGCATGTTAAATTTGTGTTGAAGTATACAATTTAACACCCTTCTGGCTCTGAATAGATATCATCTGTTGAGAGCCAGAAGGGAACTAACTGTATGCTGAAGTACAATGTATATGAGTTAATGCCCTTCTGACTACAAACACAGAGAGAGAGAGAGAGAGAGAGAGGGAGAGGGAGAGGGAGAGGGAGAGGGAGAGAGAGAGAGAGAGAGAGAGAGGGAGAGGGAGAGAGAGAGAGAGATAGAGAAAAGGAGGGAGAGGGAGAGAGAGAGGGAGAGAGAGAGAGAGAGAGAGAGAGCCAGAAAGAAAATAATTCTCTGCTGAAGTACATTAGTTAGTGCCCTTCTGGCTCCAAACAGATATGTTTCATTTTTTTAGAAATCTTAAATTGGTTCACGTCGCTAGGCCTGGGAAAGCTTGGGACAGGTGCTTTATTTTTTCCTTGAGAAACGGAGACAGATAGACAAATTACTTCTAAATTGACAGGGAAGATGGCATGCACAGATGTCAGATAGTAACTTGTGGGTCGGTAATTCAGTTTGTCCTGCATAATCTTGATCATAATTTGAAAGAAGCGTCTATTTTTGTTACCCGCATATTTCATATTTCTTTTTGATTGACTTTTCCGAGGGAAAGTTCACCTCCTACAACATGAGATGCTAAGCCTGAAAAAGGTTTGGATGGAACCTATTGGATATCTGTTTTGAAATAGAAATAATATCTTCTCCTACTGTTCAAATTGGCAATATTTAATGTTTATGATAATCACCATGATTAATATCATGTTAATTGAATTATGGTTCCAATGGAAGGAATACATGTCAGGAGTGATATTAACCTGGAATTTGTTGTTGTTGACAGATTAACTCTTATATCTCTCAAAACCTGAATTTTAATTTTAATGACTTTACTAAAACCGAGTGTGAAAGAATGAGCTCTCCTTTTACAACACAAGACAAGAGAAAAATATCTTTCCATTTTTATCTCCCTTTAACAATTCATTTTTTCAACGTTTACTTGGTCTGACTTGAGTTTTCTTCCGCCCATCCCATGTTTGTAAATTCCCCACCCTCTCAAGTTTAGGGGCACAGCTAAGGTTAATACAGGAGTGGGTGGACCATTAATGCATTTACAATTGCTTGAGAGGCTGTAAAGGTTGTCTGAAGCATCAAGAACATGTCTAAACATTTGTGGAGTCGGTGTTGACTATAATTTGATTGATCATATTTTTTTTTTGTGGTTGTTGCTGCACCTACAGAGTTAACTTGCTGACCGTGAAGTGACAGTGACGCAAGACTCAGGCAAAATGTTATAAAATATTGAGGCGTTTTTGTAGGGCTACGTTTTGTCCCTAGCGTGAATGTACGCAGTAGGCCTACATGGGTGTCCTCCGACTTTAAGTTTAACAGACTATATTGCGACAATAATGTGATCATGTGTTTGGAGCTAGAAAAGCATTAACTCATGTCATTTAATACAGAGTTAGTGCCCTTCTAGATCCAAAGAAATGAACGAATGTTATGCTAAAACACAGTTCTGCATCTGCATTGTAGTGTTAAAGCGCATGGAGACATGCAATTATTAATTATTATTATTATTATCATTAATGTGGTTGTTCAGAAAAGTGCAATAATTAACAATCCACCTCTCTCTCTTTTTATCTTTGCAGTATGAATTCAAAGCAAAAGGAATCAAGAAAAAGAAAGTCAACCTCGTCATATCTGTTGATGGCATCCGAGTTGTCCTCAGGAAAAAGAGGAAGGTAAGATCAAATGAAAAGAAAAAGAATGTGGAAAGAAAGTGGAGAAATAAGAAAAGAGAAATCTAAATATTTGGATATTGGGAATAAGAAAGGAGATGTTTAAAAGAAGACAGATTATACAGTGCTCAACAAAAGATCACAGAGAGCACTTGCAGAAAAAAATTCTCTTGGTTTTAAATGTAAAGCTGCAATATTAATTTTGAATTGTAAATAATGGCAATATATTCAGTCAAAGATAACATGGAATGAAGTATTTCTTTATGAAGATGAAATTTATAGCATCTAAAGGGTTCCTCTACATCAACCTGTGTTTATGTACTTTTGCCAAATGGACGTTAATAATGAGACTCCAAACTGTCAGTGATGCAAACCTCTCGGAAACTCTCATGATAATAGACCCAAACACATCAGACACACTGCGCTATAGTCTGCTTTCCCCCATCTACAAGCATTTCAATCAATTTAATCTTCTCTTCTTCTCAAAACGGGATCTTCGGTTCTCAAAAGGGAAATTGAGAGGTCAGGTGCATGGCCTGACCTCTCATACAATTACCCCCTTGGGATTAGACCAGGGGTACAGCTAGCCACCCCAGACCCCCCTTGGCAGGTGGTACTGGGTCCTTGCTCTTGAACTTGAGTTGTGATCCTCTCCCAATCTCGGCACCACCAAAGTGGGATGGAAGGGGGGGGGGCAGGGGCGGGTGACATCCCCTCTTAAAATATTCTTTGGCAATTTGTCAGGAAATCGCAATATGCGATGACCCTTTTTCTCTTGTGGGAAAATTTAGATTATCAGCATATTTGGTGTGATCGACACCCCATCCCCTAATTTGAATGGTCTACTGATGGCCATGCCCAGACCATGGACCAGACCCTGTGGCTCTGTAACACTTGTGAAGTATTGAATAGTCTTAGGGTGCGTTCAATCGAATTTTCGAAGCTAGAATCACAAACATGAATCACAAATCAAAACGCCATTACAAACAACAAGGTCACTGCGGTTAGCGTTCAAGCGATTTTTTATCAACGCTGATTCTAGCTCATTTCGAGCCCAGCCACTGCGGATCACACTTGCAGTTTGACCCAGGAAGTAAAGGTCAACTTCTGCGCGCGCTTTTTGGAATTGTTTACGGCCTACTGTCGACTGCTGTTTTGAGCATAGATCGCAATAATAAAACAAAGAATGAGAAGGTGATGGAAGGAAGAAACAAAAAATAACATAAGGAAAGACAGAAAGAGAAAGTGATAGAGTTATTAAAACAAAGAATAACATAAGAAAAGGTGGTAGAAGTAAAAAACAAAGAATAACATAAGAATAGAAGGAAGAAACAAACAATTACAAAAGAGAAAGTGATAGAATAATTATAAAAACAAAGAATAACATTATGAAAGACAAAAAGAGAAAGTGATAGAAGGAAGAAACTAAGATAACATAAGGAAAGACAGAAAGAGAAAGTGATAGAGTTATTAAAACAAAGAATTACATAAGAAAGGCTGAGAGAAGGAAAAGAACAAAGATTAACATAAGAATAGAAGGAAGAAACAAAGAATAACAAAAGAGAAAGTGATAGAATTATAAAAATAAAGAATAAAATAAGAGAAGGTGATAGAAGGAAAAAAAAACAAAGAATAACATAAGAATAGAAGGAAGAAACAAAGAATAACATAAGGAAAGACAGAAAGAGAAAGTGATAGAATGATTGAAACAAAGAATAACATAAGAGAAAGTGATAGAATTATAACAACAAAGAATAACATAAGAGAAGGTGATAGAAGGAAAAAACAAAGAATAACATAAGAATAAAAGGAAGAAACAAAGAATAACATAATGAAAGACAAAAAAAAAATGTGATACAAGGAAGAAACAAAGAATAACATAAGGAAAGACAGAAAGAGAAAGTGATAGAATGATTGAAACAAAGAATAACATAAGAGAAGGTGATAGAAGGAAAAAACAAAGAATAACATAAGAATAAAAGGAAGAAACAAAGAATAACATAATGAAAGACAGAAAGAGAAAGTGATAGAATGATTGAAACAAGGAATAACATAAGAGAAAGTGACAGAATTATAACAACAAAGAATAACATAAGAGAAGGTGATAGAAGGAAAAAACAAAGAATAACATAAGAATAAAAGGAAGAAACAAAGAATAACATAATGAAAGACAGAAAGAGAAAGTGATAGAATGATTGAAACAAGGAATAACATAAGAGAAAGTGACAGAATTATAACAACAAAGAATAACATAAGAGAAGGTGATAGAAGGAAAAAACAAAGAATAACATAAGAATAGAAAGAAGAAACAAAGAATAACAAACGAGAAAGTGATAGAATGATTGAAACAAGGAATAACATAAGAGAAAGTGACAGAATTATAACAACAAAGAATAACATAAGAGAAGGTGATAGAAGGAAAAAACAAAGAATAACATAAGAATAGAAAGAAGAAACAAAGAATAACAAACGAGAAAGTGATAGAATTATAAAAACAAAGAATTACATAAGAAAGGCTGAGAGAAGGAAAAGAACAAAGATTAACATAAAAATAGAAGGAAGAAACAAAGAATAACAAAAGAGAAAGTGATAGAAATATAAAAATAAAGAATAACATAAGAGAAGGTGATAGAAGAAAAAAACAAAGAATAACATAAGAATAGAAGGAAGAAACAAAGAATAACATAAGGAAAGACAGAAAGAGAAAAAGATAGAAGGAAAACAAGGTATAACATAACGGAACAGGCCACGATAAAGAGCATGGTATAGTAAACGCAAATTGCATGAAAAGCAGGCGCGCGGTTTTTGCCCAAACCGGAACAGGCTCCGTCATACAATCATGATTGAAAACTCCGTCCGTTCAATCGAATTTTAGCGACCGTGATTCTGCAGAATCATGATTCAAAACGCATCTTTTTCAGCGTTTCATGTTTGTGTTTTCAAAGACGTTTATTTTTACGACCGACGAAAAAATCGCTTGAACGCATTGCGTTTTAAACTAAACGTCTTTAGAAACCGTGATTCTAGGGTGAAAAAGTGTCGATTAAACGCACCCTAAGAGCCGATGGGACTGCATGCTGTAAATCATGATAGCACGTTCCAAATCCCTCTGTAGTGAAAAGAGTGAAAGAAAAGATGGCAATTTACATCAAAACCTGAAAGAATTGGCAGTCCTTTTAGGACACAAATTATTCATCCATATAGCACCTTGGCAGTAGTGGGCATATTGCAAATACAGTCTCCCAAGAGATTTACTGCAAAGTGGCTTTTAGCATACTTTTAGGAACAAAAATGGCTTTACTGAAAAGTTTAATGGCATGTCAATATAATCTTCTTTCCCAATTCAACAACTTAACACTCTTTCAGAAAGGTTTGCTTTGAAAGAATTGGCCATTTGACAAGTTTTGTTGTCAATTTTTATGTGATTTATGGAAAGGGGAGGGCTGTGACAATTTACTGGGGAGGGGGGAGGGAGGTGGGGGTTATAATGTAAAATACAAAATATTTATAGTTATTTTTTAGAATGTTTTAGTATTTAGTTATCACGACAACAGGTGTATTCATAATTTCTTTTATTTCAAAAAGCAACAAGTAGTCATTGTTATTTTTGCATAATTAATTTCTCTTATCAATTTTTCTTCTTCAGAAGAAGGAGTGGGAATGGGACCAAGACAGACTGATTCTCATGCAGCATCCCATCTACAGGTAAGATTATCTTCTAATCTCATCCATCATTCATCTTTGCTTGTCAAATCTCTTGATGCTATCCTGATTGGAATGGATAAGATGGTGATAGAAGGGAACATGAAGTGATATTGGTGTAGAAAAAAGTAAGGCAGAAGTAGCATGGGAATTGAGTGGAGGAAGGAAAAGGGAGAAGAGACAGAGAGAGAGAGAGAGAGAGAGAGAGAGATGTGGAGGAGAAGAAGAACAAAGAAAGAGGAGAAGGAGAAGAAGGAGCAGGAGAAAAAGCAGAAGCAGGAGCAGCATGAAGAGCATGAGGAGGAGGAGGAGGAGGTGGAGGAAGTGGAGGAAGAGGGAGGGAAGGGATGGAAGGAGCAGGAGGAGGAGGGAGGGAGGGAGGGGGATGACAGTGTGCGAGAAACAGAGGGGAGGGTTCATGAGTTGAGTACTTGCATTTTCCTATCCCTGCAGAATGATACTTTGTAATATTGTAGTTTGTTGTGGATCTTCTGAAAGGCAATTGGTAAAATTTCTTGAATCATTCCCTGGTGCACACATACACTGTAGATGTACGTGTTGCAGAAAGGAGGGTGCGGTATCTGTAGATCTGCAAGGTTTCTGTCTTTGTGTTCTTTCCCTTTTCCCTCTCCCTTCCTTGCTTCACAGTCTCTCATCTTGCACTCTTGCCCTTCAACTTCATTTACCAACGGGCAATCAAAATCTTGAGAACAATAACAATCGAGGCAACCCCCTCCTCTTGAATGTCAATTTCAAATCACGGTCAAGAAATGCATCTTGACTTTCACGCTAGGTGGCACTACCCTTTCCCCCTCTCCTTTCCTCAAATTCCCCCCTCTCTGTACATTACGGATGCTATGTAAGGTTGAAGGTTAATTTCAAACTATGTCTCTTCTAACTTGTGGTGCACGCAGGCAGGCAGACGAGGGCACCGGCAGATCAGAAGCATGTGTTTTAAATGTCAAAAATCAAATTTGCCCGAGATGAGGCTTCCAGAAATTGGATTAGCGGATAATGGGTTTTGTTGTAGAGGGGTAGACAGTAAAGCCTCTTTCCCAGCTGTGCACCCACGTAAAGGAATGCCCCGCTTTTATTCAATTTGACGAAAGGTAGGGGCACATTTTTTTCCAAGAGTTGGATTTTAGCATCTGTTTTCTGTCCAGGGTAAAGCATACAGTTTGCTTTAGCCTAGTAACGAGGCAGACGTTGAGGTTACCATAGAAACTGGCTTTGTACGAGGGTTGAAAGTGATTATATATAGAGAAACCTCCCCTGTTTTACAGCATGTATAGATGTTTTTTTTACGTTATTCATATTAACGCACAATACCTAGCTAATCTCATCCACAATTCTGACTTCAGTCTTTCAAAGTTTATATATGGTGGGAAATATTTTAGAGTCTAAATTCCCCTAAGCATGGATCTACCTCAAGTTGTACATTTAAATCTATACCCCAAGCAGAGAGAACGAGAGAGAAAACAAAAAGAAGTTGTACCATGGGAATGTCTTGAATTTTGAGGGATTCAAAGTCATTTAAGGTGGAATTGTATTGGAGTGTTTGGTGAAATGACAGGTCCCGTTGAAATAGATACTCATCAGTTGTCAAGAGTTGAAAATTGAAGCCAGTGGAGACTTGCAATCAAGGGAATTCTGTAAACAAATATGAACAACCAGCGCACATGCTCAAGAGATTCAGAAAAACCCTTTTCTCCCACATTTGTATCAGGATTACCTTGTTTTCCTGACAGTCCTGGCAGCCTCTCTCCAAAATTTAGGCTCTTCAGTTCATGTAGAAACTGTCAAAACATGCATCAGTGTACTAAGGGCGCGTTCATGCTTGATTTTGAAGGCAGAATGAGCGATTTGTAACGCTCATCGTAAACGCTCATCGTAATCGCAGTTCCACGTTGCACTGTTCATGCTCACTTCTCCAGGCAATTCTCCTTGGGTGGCCTTCAGCTGGATTCGCAAACCTGTGTGCGCATGCTACGTAGACCCACTAGAGGTCAGTGCGTTGACCCCATTTAAACGTGTTTACAAATTGTAAACGCATCTTTTTGTGAGTTTACGATCGGTGATCGTGATCGCCGTTTTTCGGTGATTCTACAAAAGTGAGCATGAACGCAAGCGTGTTTTAAACTAAACGCGTAACAGATGCCTGATTCTAGCCGTCAAAATCAAGCATGAACGCGCCCTAAGGTGCGCGATGGAGAAATGGCTGTCCATATACTAAAATTTTATACTAGAGTCCTGAGAATAAAGATTTTCTTTGAAATTTGAATGCATTTCTTTCTCCATTGCAAGATATGCAGCAACAGAGGATAGTCTACAAATTCCAGGCAGGATTATGTTCAATATGTTTTACATGATGCTTACCTTGTTGAGCACTTTGTTAGTTTCTTCAAACAATTAAAATATGTGTTTATATTAAAGTTGCTCATGCGTGGGTATATAGAGGGCAGCACACGGACGTACACACAGGAGCGTAATACCTGTCGGCTCAGTCTTATTAGTGATCGCCAAGTTGTCTACTTCACTAACGACTGTATACATGTACCCGCGCATGAACATCTTTCAGGATGAATTGTTAGATTTGTGTGTGTCTTAAATTTGGGGAAGTAATGAACAAATCAAATCAACAAAACAAATCAAATCAAATCACACCAAATTAACGCAAATCAAAGCAAATCACACCAAATTAAAGCAAATCAAATCAAATCAACTGTATATGCCATCAAGCGCAATCAAATCAAATCATTAAGGAGAGGGGGGAAACACACTGTTGCACAAAGAAGTCGGGCAATATAAGTGAGTAAGAAACGTAAAATTCATTCTCCGCTTTCCATAGACACCTGTTTCCATGTTGCCCCTACCTGAATACATTCACGTTACAAGAACTGTACACACAGAATATTCCATTATTCATGATCCTTATCCTCTTGTCACGGATTTGTCACACTTTCTGGCCTGAAGGGTTGCAAAATTTACATCGAGTTAGAGCAGGATTAGTTCCTTGTGATCGATCACGCTGAGGAGAATGATGAAAAGAGGCATGAACATCTTCAACTTGTCTCGAGATGTACATTTCAAAATGAGGGATTTCATGGAGAAATTAACTCGACTGGAATCACAGGATAACCTTTGAAAAAGGTTTTTGTGTAAGAAAAGGGTATTTCATGGCACGCTTGTACCCTAATTTTGTTGTTGTTGGTTGTCTCCTTGATAACTGTTTTGTTTTGTTCTTGTGAACATGTCCATGTGATTTGTTTCTACATTTCAATATCCAACTAAAATTATATCTTCACAATATTACACAATCATCTCTCTCTGTTTGTTTCTTTTCTCCATATTTCCATGTTATAAGCAAAATATTTATCACTTTCATAGTTAATCTGCATTATAGTTGTCTAGAATTTTGTGCCTCTAAACATTTGGATAGCCTTTCGACTAATATTCCAAGGAACTCTTCTCTTTTCTGTCGGATACACCCTTCCCAGGGGTTCTGTCTTTTTGAACAGGAAATATGAGGTATAACGGAAGCATCACCTGTTTAAGGAGGAAACATATCTTACCCCATGTAGTCCCAACTATTGAAAGTAGAGTTGGGAGATATCCGTATCTCCTAAAATATACCCCCTCCCTTTTTATCTCTTTTTCTGTCATTCTCTTTCTCTCCCTCTCTGCTCTATCTCCTCCATCTCCTCCTTCTTCTTCAACTTCTTTACTTCTTCTTCTTCTTCTCCTCCTCCTCCTCCTCCTCCTCCTCCTCCTCCTCCTCCTCCTCCTCCTCCTTCTTTCTGGTTTCATAAAGATAAGACCAATTTGCATTTATATAACTAGGATTTATGTGATTACGAAGAGAGATACTTGCACAGTCTGTATTAAGACATTCCCTGGTTCTGGTGAGGATTAATGCAATGAATAATGCATGAAACAAATATGACTTTCAGAATATATGATTGAACTCAACCTGATTTCAATGCGGTTGTTTGACACACGCTCCCTTGACTTTTGCTCTATGGTCAATTTTCTCCTCTGAACGAATCTGAATTTCAACTCCGAACCCAACACTCTCTATCAACCTAACCCTAACCATAAACTTCAAACGCAATAGCAAATCTGAAACCTAAACTCCCATATTTCTGATAAACTATAAAGCCAAGAACAAATGTCGGATCACCTCAATATTCTTTATTTTCCCACAATCTGCTATATATACAAGCATTGTAGTTCCTTTTTTGTGTCTTAGAATCATAAGACGGATCCCACTCACAGTCACACCCACAAAGTTCCCTTGCTCTGTCGGCTTTCTATGATCACTTTGACTTGATGCTGTCGGTTTATGAGACAAATTTTATTCTGACGTACACATAAAGCTGCAAACCATTCCTATTTCGGGGAATGATTCCTATTCTTTTGGTCTTGAGGTTGAGTTCTGGGAAGAGGTGAAAAATAATTTGTGAGCATTACTCATTCTTATTATGCAAGTGTGGAAGAACATCAGTTAAGACATGTTCCCTGAAAAGCATGGCTCTTCAAATGCCTTCATATTCTAAATATGCATGTAACATCGTAAAAATCGGGGGGGGGGGGGGGGGGGGGGGGCCGGCTTTTTATGCCACGTGTGTGTGTAGTCCCATATACATCTTTCTGTGCAAGTGTTTGTAACTTTACCAAGACTTGGCCAAATTTCTTATCATTTTGATGATTCCAGAACCTTGCAATACACACAAATTCTTACATGCTAGATGATCAACCTTTTCTGGTCGGTTCCACACCGTTTCTTTCACAATGCAATCGCATGACCAGAACTCAGCTTCATCTTTAAGCTATTGTTTTGAACTCTAGATTCCTCTCTTTTCTGTAATATTCCGCGTGAAAATTATACGAAATAAACTGTATTCTTAATTTTGCCTTGAGAGATTCCTAATTTTTTTCTCTGAAATGTTGGCAGGTATGATAAATGCTTGCGGTGGTATGATTCAATTTCAAGAGTGAATAGATGTCATAGATTGTAGAAATCAATCATTTTTTGACATTATTTTTATCTTCTTTGCAGGGGAAAGTAATGCATGATTTAGATGGAGTACGTTTCCAAAAGTCACATTACTTTTATAGTGCATGTGATTTGTTATAAGACGCATCGATGAGAC